CTTTGGCTTTCCTAACCTGATCCCTGGCTGCTCAGACAGTTTCTCTGTATTCCTCCCAGGCTACCTGTCCCTGCTTCCACCCTCTGTAGACTTCCTTTTTGTGTTTGACTTTGCCCAGGAGCTCCTTGTTCATCCATGGGGGCCTCCAGGCATTTTTGCCTGACCTCCTCTTTGTTGGGATGCATCGCTCCTGAGCTTGGAGGAGGTGACCCTTGAATACCAACCATCTGTATTGGGCCCCTGTTCCCTCCAGGGCTTTGTCCCATGGTATTCTACCAAGCAGGTCCCTGAAGAGGCCAAAGTCTGCTTTCCTCAAGGAGCTCAGGGTAGTGACCTTGCTGTGTGCCCTCCTCGCTGCCCTGAGGATCTTGAACTCCACCATTTTGTGGTCACCGCAGCCAAGGCTGCCCTTAAGCTTCACATTCCCCACCAGCCCCTCCTTGTTGGTGAGAACACGGTCCAGCATGGCACCTCTCCTCGTGGGTTTCTCTATCACTTGGAGAAGGAAGTTATCATCAAAGCATTCCAGGAACATCCTGGATTGCTTGTGCCCTACTGTGTAGTCCCTCCAATAGGTATCAGGGTGGTTGAGGTCCCCCTGAGGGCCAGGGCTTGTGAACGTGAGGCTGCTCCTGTCTGTCTGTAGAGGGCTTCATCCACTTGGTCTCCGTGGTCGGGTGGCCTGTAGCAGACCCCCGCTCGGTTGTGTTGACCCAGCTGTTTGTGGGGTCACGCTCTGAACAGCACGAAGGAAATCACTTGGTTTAAAATAATGTTGATGTCGGTGGAGAATGACCTACTGCTGTCATTTTGTCCGAGTTTCCCTACCAGATTTTAATTACTGCAAAACGTACTACTATTTTTTTATTTTTTAAAGAAAATAGTGTATTCTGAGGAACCCCCCCTTCCTATCAATGGATGAAGGTGAAGGAGACTGTTGTAGCGGTTAGAGAGCTGAGCTGAATTCTCTCCATTTTCATAGCATGCCCTAGGAATACAATAAAATATAAACCCCATGTAGAACATTAGGATTTTTATTACAAATAATTTGTGAATACTCGTTTCGTTATTAATTTTGAATGAATTTAATGTGAAAGATACTACATTAGCTTGTCTGGAGGTTGCAGCTTCACGTAACAGATTCCGAAAGGAGTAGCAGCAGTGGAAATTTCTCCGGTCGGCTTCTTCGTAACGCCGCAAAGGCCTTGGCAAACAAATCAAACCCAAAAACCTGCGGGCTTGCAGGCCCCGAGGACCTTGGGGTCTTTGGGCGGACACCAAAGCTCGATGTTTTAACAGTACGTTGTCTTAGACGTTAGCTCAACAGCAATCTTGTTTCTTCTTCTTAGATTTTGAATTCCCAAATAACGGATACTGGCAGGTACGTCTGCGTTGTGGAAAACATAGCTGGGAGCGCCAAAAAGTATTTTAACCTAAACGTTCATGGTGAGTGCAGTACTCCGTCGTTTCCTGATTGTCGTCTTTCAAACGTTTGATTAATTGAATGTGTTAATTTTAGCAGAGCGCTTGGGCAGAGGCTTAGCTGTATGCATGCAAGGTGTCTTACCGGGTGTGATGGAGATTCTGACGTACCAGAAGTGAAACAGAAGTTTAACGAACCTCGGCAGCGCCTGGCTGTTGATGCCACGTGGCTTTAGCTCCTCATACGTATTCCACATAGGTAGAAATTAGTATTGAGGGAGCCTTGTGTAGCGGCTGTGTGCGCTGGGTAGGGGTTGCAAAGCCCTGAAACCGTGAGTTACAAACAGATTGGATTATAGTCTGGTTTTTAAATGATCATAAAATGCCTTTTCCAAGGAAAGTAATGATTAGAAAGCATTAAACAAAGAGATAGGACATTGTAAAAGCTTAACTTTTTAAAAATTTACGGTTTAAGATTTCTTTCTGTTCTTTATTTTTTGTTTTGTTGTGGAGTTAAAATAGGGTTAAAATAAATTTTGGACTTCAGCATCACAAGTCTGTAATACAGTCAAGAAATTAAGACATTTCCCATTATTTAAAAAAAATGGTCTCTCCACCACCTTCCCTTACTTCTCCTGATAGCTTCAGAAAACCGGGATGTCTTTAATTAACACCTCAGGGTAAACCCTAACTTCGCCTTTTATTTGTGCCCGCTCTTCATCCCACCGCTTTCAGCTTTCCATTCTGAATTGAAGATCAAATAAGCATTGCTCCCACAAAATCATCTGCCCAATTACGTGTTTAAACCTTCCAAGGAACACTGGCAGCTACATCGTTATCTGCTTTCACAGTCTGATTTGGCAACATACCGCATCTTCTCCATGTGATCGGTCTCCTTTTTCACATCCTTTTTAGCTAGCTAATAATTTGTGTTACGTAGAGACAAGTGCTGCCTTCTCTCGATTAAACGCAGCACCAGCATCCAAGGAATTTGATGATTCAGGTTATTACATACAGAAGAAATAAATTTGTTTCTCATTGACACATGCAGCAAATTGACATACAAAATTAAACAAATTTATAGTGCTTTTTTTCTACTTAGTAAAAAAAATTAGCCAAAAGTATTGTTGTCATGGGAAAAATTTGCCCTGGAGTCGTTCTCTGAGGAGTTATTTTCTTTTAGTGGAGTCTATCCAGCTTTGCTGAGTTTTGTTTTTCTTGACATTTGTGTTTAAATTTAAACTTCTTGTCTTTAAAATATTTGTTTATAATGTCTATAGTCTAATCCCATTATTTTAACAGAAATATTTGCATGAAGCTTCAATTCTAGCTCAACAGTATTACCAGTTTAGGGCTGCGTCCGTGCTCAGATTACCTGCGGTGCGTTTGAGAGTGGTTTGCACACGCCATGAAGGCTGCAGAATTTGAAATGTACCTTCTATACACTTTAAGCAAAATCCATTAAACGATAGCTCAGATTCCGCCCTGTATATTTAATTACCCACTGTCTTGCTCTGCCAATAATCACATCTGTGGGAAAGTAACTGTAAAAGTAAATAAATATAAATAACTGTAAAATGTCATCAGATCAGAATTCTGCCTGTCTTCTAGTGAACCATTTTATGCTTATTATCAGGGAAATAACCTTCAGTTATTATTCCAAGTTGAAAAATATGGACTGAATTCACCCGTTGACATTGACTCCTCTCGTTTCTGCAGTGCCACAGAGGAGCAATAAACTTGGCTTAATGACCGCTTTGTGTCGTTCAAGTGACAGAAAGCAGCTGGAGTATTTCTAGTGGATATGGCCCAAAATACTTGAACATTTCTGTCTTTGAAGAAGAGGATTCCATGTGTTCTTTGGAATGAATTTTTCCACCCAATAGAGCCAAGAACACGCTTTTGCTTTCCTCTTAAGTGTTTTATATATCCACGCTGCAAAAACACGGAAACTAAAACTTGGGGTTTGTTAAAAGGAAGAGATTTGCAGTTAGTTCATTTTAAATAGTTCTTGTAGAAAGGTCAGATGTCAAAATATCCTTGTATTTAAACATACTGGGACTTGTAAGCTTAAAAATGCACCCCTCAGAGCAACCCTGGCATGCCAGAATTTTAAATTGCTTAGCTCACTATTAAACAACAGGTTTGCCTGGTTAACCAAAGAACTCCAGACTGTATCAGAAGGAATCATTTTTAGTTCACTATGATGAGAAAATGGCCTATTTCAGAAAGAATAGGAGCAATACAACGTCAGGAAGAAATGATGTGTAGTCATCCTATATATCCTGACAAGGTAAATTTAAAGCTGTCCTGCCTTACGTAGCAAACGTCCCGTGAGTACAGCGTTTGAAAATCGTTAGTGCATTAGTCAGGAGCTGCAGGATCTCTTAGAGGTTGATTAGCCTTCCCAAATCCCAAGCACAGAAGGACTGCAGCTGAAATCAGTGATGGCTTTTGTGAATTATAGGAACAGGAATGACCATTAGGTTGACGTCAGTCATATTTCCAGATACATCCAAAAAGCAGTGGATCCATTCATAGGACGATGTGAAAGACTTTTGCAACTTGACCCTTCGGCAAAACTCAGCGATTCAGCTTTATTTTAGTAAAGCAGGATCTTGTGGAATATTGTTTGTTGGCACTATGATGATACTATTAATGTATTTCTCTCGGCAGTTCCTCCAAGTGTTGTTGGTACTAATCCTGAGAATTTGACTGTGGTGGTGAATAATTTCATCTCTCTGACTTGTGAGGTCACTGGCTTTCCACCTCCTGATCTCAGCTGGCTCAAGAACGGAAAACCTATCAGTTCGAATACCAACACTTTTATTGTGCCTGGTGAGGAATCTCAGCTATTTCTCCAGCCTTTGAACTCAACTTCTGTCTGTTTTGTCTTGATAAGAGCGATGGCCGTTATTTATGGAGCCAATATGTTCTTAGTGTTGCTCCCGTGAGTAGCCAAGACGCTTGACCTACTGTGTTTAATAATTTCTTGGCTCTTGGGTGCGTTCACTTGTAAAGAAAACTGGCTCGGACCGAACGCACTGAAATAAACTGTGTGGAGAAGACTAGAGGGCAAGCCACGTAGCAGAGGTGCTCGGATACAGGTATTGATTAAAGTTGAGTCGCTTTGAGCCGCCTTTCAAAGAAATGATCAGAAATTGTGATGGAGGCTAAGGTAAATCCTGCTGGCTTAGATGACAAAAAGTAAAAACCTTCCCATTGGCTTCGGTGGGAAACTCGATCAACCCCGCCGAACTCCAAGGAAGAAATCCTTGTGTTCCGAGGTCTCCTTAGCCATTTGAAGCTCCTCACTGAATACGGACCATGAGTGGCATTTCTGCTCCCGCTGCTTACCTTCAGCCCCGGGTATGAAGTGAAGATCGCTTGCTGCGTTGCTCAGTTCTGTCTTGCTGGTGTTAGGTGAGCAGGGGCTGTGTTACAGCACGGACCTGGAAATTGCTGGCTGGCAGTAGAGGCGTCTGTGGAGATGAGTAGTGTAGGCACGGGCACTGAGTAGCGTCATGGATGGACACGGGTGAGAGTGGGCTAGTGACAGAGATGAGCGGAAAGGGCATAGTTGTGTTAGGAGCCAGCAGTTAGCAGCTGCAAAGGAAACAGGTCTGAAAGGAGCAGAATCATAGAATCATTAAGGATGGAAAAGACCTCTAAGATCATCAAGTCCAACTGTCAATTAGTATTTGTGGTCTGAGCTTGCAATTAACAGCGCTAATGAAATTTACCCTAAAATGTTTGTTCTCTTGGCTAGATTTTTTTTTTAAGGATTAATGAACCTTAAAAAGCAAGGACAATGCAGTGCCTTTTTGAATCTGAGGTTAAATTTGTGCCTATGCTCAGTCTGTTGGACCTGCGATTTTAAAATAGCATTTGAGGCTGATACAATGACCACAGAATAAATCTCAAGCCTTCTCTCTCTGCTTCAGGCGCTCGGACTCTGCAGATTCCTCGAGCCAAGCTACCTGATGATGGTGAATATACTTGTATTGCCAGAAACCAAGCTGGGGAGAGTCAGAAGAAGAGTTTCCTAACCGTCCTTGGTTTGTTTTTTACAGTTTTCTGAAATAGTATCTATTGCTTCAAAATTGCAGTGTTTTGTATTTATTTTTATTAGGTTGTTTTCTGCCTTCTCACAAAACAAAGGCAGAAATAACTCTGAGCTTCTTCTACAGTGCCCCCAAGCATCAAAGACCATAGTGGGACCTCGCTGACAGTGCTGAACGTGAGAGCGGGCACGCCGGTGGTGTTAGAGTGTGAATCCAACGCTATTCCACCACCAGTCATCACCTGGTACAAGAACAGGCGCCTGATTTCAGAGTCTGCAAACGTGGAGATCTTAGCGGACGGGCAAACGTTACAAATCAAGGGTGCAGAGGTAAGCCAGGGTGCGGGGTGCTCTATCTGCCACTGCTCCGCTACTGTTAAGCAATTTTTTGCTCTTTATTGGTGTGTTCTACTAGGAGATGTATTTGCTGAAGGCCTTTCATTCTGTGAAAAGGACCTTGAGTTGGCAGAGGCAAAGGCTGCTAATATCTGTAAGCTGTAGCTTCAAACTAAGACTCCATAATAAGGTTTTTTTAATTTATTTTTATTTTAGGTTTCTGACACGGGCCAATACGTGTGCAAAGCCATAAATATTGCAGGGCGAGATGATAAAAATTTCCATCTCAATGTTTATGGTGAGCATACTCTGCACGACCCGCGGTAGTTATTATAATGCCACAGACATTGTGGAGTAGACAATTCAAAACCAGTTTACAAAAATACTTGGTGACCAAACGATTCTCCTTGCTTCCGTTCAATTTATAGTGCCACCAAATATAGAAGGCCCTGAACAAGAGTCGGTCAATGAAACTATCAGTAATCCTGTTACCTTTGTGTGTGATGCTACCGGAATTCCTCCACCAACCTTGTTATGGCTTAAGAACGGCAAACCAATAGGTAACGTTCTCTCACGCTCTTTTCTGCTCTTTTTTCCCCCCTTTGGGGCACCACTGTGCTATTTGCTGTCTATTTTTTGTTACTTCTTCATCTGTCTCTAGACAGACTCTTATGCTAACTGATTGGAATCTGTCTTTTGTTTTGTTTTGAAATTTTGATGGAAAAATTTCTCAAGACGCGTTTGCTCTCTGGGGCCCGCTTTGGAATGACTGCTTGTTTACATATTTTCAGAAAACTCCGATTCTCTTGAAGTTCATATTTTATCTGGTGGAAGCAAACTTCAGATTGCTCGCTCTCAGCTTTTAGACAGTGGGACCTACACGTGTATTGCCTCAAATATAGAGGGAAAAGCTCAGAAAAGTTATGTGCTTTCCATTCAAGGTAAGGCATGAGAGTGCAGTGAGCAGAACTGGTTAATCATCGCTTGAGTGTGACACTGTGTCCGTACCAGAGGCACCGAGATGACATAAATGTGTAGAAAAGTGGAGAATTCGGACCGTTATTTCTGTCATCCGCAACCAGTGGGGAACAGTGGTGAGAGGATTATATACTGGTAGTATATACCAGAAAATTGCGTGCAAAAGAATATGCTTAACCTCTGACGGCAGGAGAACCTGAAAGCAATCGGGAAGGCTGTGTGTGTGCTGCTGATGGCATCCTTCCTCCTGCTGAGCGCTGAAGCTACGAGGGTTGAGTGAGTGTGGAGCACCACACAGAGGTGGTTTCAGATGCAGTGATACCTCTTGCTATTTTTGCCATAGCAAATCGAAAGAGATAGCAAGGAAATACTGGCAGAATTTCCTTATGATTCTTTTTTCCTGCTCAAATGAAACCCCCTTACTTGTTATGGAATTGCCTCCTGCCTCCCTGCACGTCACCCTTTACGCTGCAGTCACCTTTCTTTTCCTCTGTTCCTAATGACTCATCCCCATTAAGATGCTTATGGTACAGTATCTCCAGCTTTCTGCCGCGGTCCCTTCCCATGCCGGTGGTTGCTGGTTGAGGAAAGGGCAGCATCGGCTGTGAGCTGGACATCAGGAGACCAAACAGAACCAGTAACTCTTGGGCAGAGTGATTGGTCTTGAGGGATGCTGGGTTTTGTGTGTCCCCCAGCCTGCCAGCTTCCCCCAGGTTTAGGAATTGAATATAGAATCATAGAGCGGGTTGGGTTGGAAGGGACCTCACAGCCCATCTAGTTCCAACCCCCTGCCATGGGCAGGGACACCCTCCACTAGCCCAGGTTGCCCAAAGCCTCATATCAAGCCGTTTGTTGATCAAATGTGACAGAAATTACTTGAAGTGCTCAAAACCTACTAGTGGGACTGCATGTCTTGACTTGGTGGACAGCATGATTGTCATCGTTGTTCTTTAGGAGAACAGGCTAAAACTGGCTGCTGGTTGGGACGGAGGAAGCGTGTCTGTTAACCGGAATGTGATGGTCTCGATGCAAAGAACGTTTGCCTGCACCCAGCACGTGCTCAGGAGTTGGAGGCGTTGAATTGTTACAGTGCATTGTGATGTTTAATGAAATGGTTTTTGGCGTTACTGTACACGTTAGCGTTGTTTGAGCAGATAACTGCAGATATTAAATATAATGGCAAAGACATGTTTTTATAATTTTGTAAATTAGCTGGTTTAAGGGATGGTTAAAGTGGCTTTGAATTAATCTTTGCAGAACCCCCTCTAGAAACAATATAATCTTATACTAGACTTGAATGGAGGTACTGCGAGAAACGCTCGTACTCATGAGCTACTGCAATGTAACTTTTTATAGTTTAGATTATGTTTCTGCTGCTGAATCTTCTCTTCCCTCCATCATGCGCTTCCAGTTCCTCCTAATATCGTTGGCTCTGAGATGCCTAGTGAGGTCAGCGTCCTCCTGGGAGAAAGCATCCAGCTCGTCTGCAGCGCCAACGGAGTGCCCACGCCTGCTATGCAATGGCTTAAAGATGGAAGAAGGATTGCCAGTGACGATGTACAAAGAATAAGGCAAGCAAAAATAAGCATTCTCTTCTTGTGTAATTTTAAACCTGAGAGGGCCCTAAGGAGGGAGTGTAAAGAGGGCCGGAGGCTTAGCTTAGACAGGTTAAGAACGTCATCTCCCTCTTTAGCATCTATAAATCAAGTACACTTTGTAACTACTTTTTTGTGGGGTTTTTTTTCTGACATAAGTATATGATATTTATTTCTTTCTCGGTTAATAAGTTCCATTAAAGTTCATCAGATTCATAAAAGTTTATTAAGGTCATTAAGTTCCTTTGGAGGCGAACGAGCTGAGAAATGGAAACATTTTACTCTTGATGCTTTTCATTATGGGTTCTTCAAAAGCCTGGTTGGAATTGAATCCTAATACAAGGTCAAACAGGCCAGCTCCAGGAAAAACTTCCTAGCCGATTTCTAATAATAATATTTTCCAAAAAACAATGGTTCTCTCGCCGAATCCCCAAGAGGGTAGGGGTAGTTGATTTAAATGTACAAAACTGACTGTTTATTTGCCAGGTCATAGGAATACGTAAACAAACTCACTGTGTTTTCTGACCTTCCTCGTAGAGTGGCTCCGGATGGCAGCACATTAAACATTTTCAGAGCTCTCAGTTCCGATACAGGAAAATACACGTGTGTGGCAACTAACCCTGCAGGAGAGGAAGACCGAATTTTCAACTTGAATGTATATGGTGAGTTTTCACAGACGTGAAACTGAAATCCAGTCCATAATCCTGTCTTTGTGAGCACTCCCCAGAGAGGGCCAAGAAATGAACGCCTGTCTTCCGTGTAATACTGCATGCGTGTGTTTCCAATTTCATGTACTGCAGATATCACAGTATGTTACACAGGATGTTCTGACAATGACAAAACAATTAAAATCGCTGTTAACTATGGTTTGGGATAAACAGAAATTAATTCCTTTGGTGTATTTCATAATAGAGGAATTCTGCTTGCAGTGATTTATTTTTTTTTCTTCTTGCAGAGAAAGATACACTTGGGGCTGATTTACTATGATACTGCTTTTTTGTTGTATTAGTTTATCCTCACTAGTTCCAATCAAAGTACATCAGCTAAAACCAGAGTAGTATGGTAGGGAACTAATAGTTAAAGGTCCCTCCTCCCCTGAGAAAGAGTTTATTTAGAGCTTAGAAGAAGAGCGATAGAGTTTTGGATGAAGTTCTTCTGTCGCGCAATTTGACATACAGAGGAGAGTGAGCATAACTCTTCTTTAGCAGCGTAGAGAGCGGACGTTTGAATTTGTGGAAAAAGTGTTCATGATATAAAATGGGTAGTGTGAGAGAGGGGAGAGTTCTGCACAGGCAGCGTGTCACAGCGGTGCAAGTGTCTGTCCCAGTTATACAGAGACTCAGAATCCCATGGAACACGAGCAGAGTAGCGGGAGATGGCTTTGCTATAATAAACAGCAGTCCTGAATGACCACAGCAGATCTTCGGCGGCCAGAATGGCCCTGCACAGCAGTGGAGCCTTCTTTGGTCAGTTTGTATGGGTTGAGGTTCAAGCAATAACCAACTTCAAGAGTCTCAGCTATGCAACTCTCATGGTGCGTGGTGGGATCGGAAGTCAGCCGGAGCTTGGAGCTGCATGTGGCCGGGACTTCTTTATAGAGCGAGTCCCCTCTTGCCCCCAAGACCAGGGCTTTCAAACCAACGTGTGAAACCAGAAAGCCCAAAAGGAGCTCTGTTAGAATCATCAGCCAGAATACTTAACCAGGCATTTTGAAATTTTCTGTATTTCAAAGTGAAGTCAGCATATACGTCTAGAAGTTAATTAACTTTCCTCCTGTATGATTCTAGCTTTCGCTTTATTTAAGATTTATTGAAGTAGGTGAGTTTGAGTGGCAGCAAACTGCCAATCCAGCCCCTCTAAGCCTTGACCACTTGCTCCGTCCTGCATTGTCATTCTCTCCCCATGAGCTTCAGGCTCTGAGCTCCCTCTTGTTTGTCACAGCCTGAAAAATCAACGAGGTAATTCTACTATCATTCTAAAGTGATTTTTAAATATGTAAATGGATATTTATTAGTGCTCGATATTATTGTTAGAGGATTTACTGTTTTGAAGAATGGGGATCTTCTCGCTGAATCGCCTGTGGGGCATTAGGTGCAGGATTTCCTGCAAGGTAACACATGTGGAATGACTTTTAGAGCCAATTTTAATGTCTTCCTTTTCAACATTTACAATATGTAGTTCCTCCAACAATAGCCAATAACAAAGATGAACCAGAGGACCTCGCTGCCCTTTTGGACACCTCCCTAAATATTGAATGTACTGCTACTGGAACCCCACCACCGCAGATAAACTGGCTGAAGAATGGCCTTCCTCTGTCTGTCTCCTCCCAGATCAGGCTGCTGGCAGCTGGGCAAGTTCTCAGGTTGGTTTTTGTTTCTTTTAACTAGCTGAGTTTTCCGTTCTTTTTTGCTGTATCAGCATAATTCTGCTAGTATTTTTGGAAGCAAGAATAAAACGTGATTTAAACCATGCCATAATTTAAGCAATCTACAGCTTGCTTAAAATGATTTTTCTCTGTAGACTTGCCCGAGTGCAGGTATCTGATACTGGCGTGTACACTTGTGTAGCATCTAACAGGGCTGGAGTGGACAACAAACACTACAACCTTCAAGTTTTTGGTGAGTTTCTCTGAAATGCTTTATGTAGAGAATCTTAGTTCTTCATTTCTTAAACCTAACATTCAGTTTTCTTTCTCGCCAACACAAAGTTGCAGACAGCCACAAGTCTATCTTATGTGGGTAATCATTAGGGAAACATTAATTTTTCACTGTGTTTTGTTAATGGGAAGTGTTTAACCCTAGAAGAATCCTTACTTGAATTGGCACCCATAACGTGTCGCAGGTTTTTTAGAGAGCAGAATAATGTATAATTTGTAAGTGAATTTTAACACACGTTGCAAACACAAATGTAAGTGGGCAAGTACAAAAGGGTAGCTGCATTCCAACTGCTTTGTGTTCGGAACGAACACCCGGGTTGTACTCTGCGTGAATGGGATCTTTGTTTCTCGGCAGTCCCGCCAAGCTTGGATAACGCAGGAGGAACAGAGGATGTGACTGTAGTAAGAGGCAGTGCAGCCTCGATGAAGTGTCTTACCGATGGCACTCCTGCCCCCACTATGTCCTGGTTTAAAAACGGACAGCCGTTAAACCTTGGAGCTCACCTGACCTCAAGTAACCAAGGAATGGTCCTTCATTTTGTACGAGCGGAGATCGGTGATGCCGGCAAATACACTTGTGTGGCGTCCAATGAAGCTGGAGATACCAGCAAGCACTTTTCCCTGAAAGTGCTGGGTAAGTGTTACCCTTTCAGCTGAACGAAATGCGAGCGGCAAATGAGTATCTACTCAGGACAACAATGAAAAAAAGCTCTAGGGATAAGGGGTATTTTCAAGAAAGATTTGCTGTGATAAATACAAGAAAGAAGGAAATGGAAGGTACCTAAAGATATGTGCATGTGTAATACAGGATATATTTTTTTCCCCGATGTTTCAGGAGTACTGAAATGTGCTATAATTAATACTAAACTAATTTACAAAGTAATTTGGTTTAAGTGAATAACTTTGGCTAGTGGAAATTCAGCTTGACAGGAATATCATCCTTGACAGGATGATAGCACAGCTGAAGGTACAACAGCTAAAGGGCTAATAAAAATCTTCCCTGATATTATATGGTATATTTAACCTGGGATTAGGAAAACATTTTCTAACTAATAATTCCAGCTCATAAAATATGCAAATTAATAGAGGCAGATGGAAATTACGTGAGACGCTCAATGAGTTCATGACACAGCCGGTAATAACACTAATGTAGACTAATTCTACAAACTCTAGCCACAGGGCTGTGTAGCAGGTTTTGTAGGCTTTTCGAGTCAATAAAGAACCGGAATGTTCTTCCTTCCACAGAGCCGCCTCACATCAATGGTTCAGATCAACCGGAAGAGCTCTCTGTCATCGCTAACAACCCTCTCGAACTTCTCTGCATCTCTTCTGGCATTCCAGTCCCCAAAATCTCATGGATGAAGGATGGGCGCCCGCTTCTGCCGAATGATAATGTTCACGTCCTGAGAGAAGTCCTTCGAATAACCAGCGCTCAGGTAAAGGATTTCTTTCCCGATAAGCTCAGTTTTGCAAACCCTGGAGGAGTGCGCAGAGCTGCCTGCTCGTAGAACCATCCTACGAGACGTCCTAAAAAGCCTCTATAAAATCATCCACCTGCATTTGCGGTTGGAGAATAGATTTTCCAGCCTTGCCTTGGAGTTTCCTATACAGAGCAAGCGGTAGTGTTATGGGTTGAGAGTGCCCAAGCACTTCTGCCTCTTCTGAGCATTATTACTTCAAATTAATTTCAGAGTTCTGTAATTTGTCTTTATTTATTGGTGCTTCTTGTTACAAAGCGGAACAATCAATGCTGGGGACTCGTCTTTTTCTGGGGTTATTTCTGGATTTAGTCTGTGTTTGTAATCTGTTCTTGTGCGTTTCCTACCTGTTAGACTGTTGTCACTATCTCTTGATTTTCTTCTTTCATGGTTTATAGTTCCTCCTCAGCCTTTCTTCTCTTTCCGTTAGCTCGGAGTTTCCTAATCTCCATTTGCTTCTCCCCTGTATAAGCCACAGATTACAGAGAGACGCTGCATTTGCAGCCATCTGTGTGCAGGTTAAGAAAAAAATCCATAAAGACAACAGAAAGACTTCCAGATGAATTTAGACAGTAAGAGTCCAGGGACAAATAACCTTTAAAAACCCGCACCGATGAACGAAGGCTGTGTTCAGCTGTGGACAGCCAGACTGAAAATCACCAAAAAGAAGCGGGCCAGGGCTCGGTCTTTACAATGAAGCGTTGACAGGAAGGAGAAAGCGTAAAGGTAGTAATGAGTATGTGTGCACAGAAAGATTTCCTTAGCACCCAGAACTGACCCTTGCTTAGCTGGATACCTGTAGGCAGTTCCGTCTCTATTGATTACCTGTTGCAAAAAGCATCACAAGGGGAAGGGTTCTTGCTGGAGACACATTATCCAGCGAGATTTTATGGGATCATGCAACGCCTAAGTCATCCCTGTACAATCCCAACATGGTGAAATGAAGTTTTCAAGAACTGTATTAATTTCTCTTCAGGCATGCCTTATCTATTGTGTTTGTGTTAAAGTGCTGCCTGTTGTATGTTACCGTCAGTGCTTGTATTTCAATTTTTCTGAATTCTCCCCATATTCTGAGGTTTCTGCTGAAGGTTTTGTGTTTCTAGGTGGAGGACACGGGAAGATACACGTGTTTGGCATCTAGCCCAGCAGGAGATGATGACAAGGAATATTTAGTAAGAGTGCACGGTAAGTTTAATTTAGGAAAAAAAAATATTCCTTCAAACCTTTGTCCTAAGGGATGTATCGGTATCTCATTTAACAAGTTACGTATTACTAAAGAAGAAATATTACATGTTTTGAGAAAGTGATATTGCACCATATGATCACAACTGACATTTCTGACTAAGGGTAACTATTCTGAACGTGCTACACGATTAAAAGGGAAAGCTCCACCAGATGCAACTGATTGCTGTTATAATGCCAAGTCTGATATTTTGAATACGTGGAGGGTTATAGATGGCAGTATTCAGTTGCACTGAGTTTATTGTGCTGACTGAAAAAGGATGGGATGTATACTGATACCTGTGATCAGCTTAGCTTTTCAGTAGGAAAAGATAAGAAATGTATTTAGAAATGAATGCATAGAATGTCATGACAATTAAAGAAGTATAAATGGGACTTCTGCAGTTCTATAACATGCCTTGGGTTTCCTCTTGAAGACGATAGCTTCCATGTTTATTGATGAACAGTTCATGGAACTTCAGTGGTCTCTGCTCCGTCTGGCTTAAATGCTGGTACCCTCACTGAGAGTGGGCTTGACATTGGTTTCTGTCACAGTAGTTTTCAGCGTGTGAGTTAGCAAACAGGTTCACCAGTTAAGCAAAAGTGATATATTTAATGCAGATATTGAAAAGTAGAACTACTTAATGGCACCGTACCTTTGCGTTTATTTTAAACTTAAGAAATAAATGGGAAAATTTCAATGAATGATTGTAACGGTAGCTCATACGTTTGGTGTTTATTTTTTTTCCTTAATTTTTGTAACAGTTCCTCCTAACATTGCTGGTACTGGTGGTCCACAGGACCTCACCGTGTTGCAGAACAGACAAGTTATACTGGAATGCAAGTCAGATGCTGTCCCACCTCCGACAATCTCCTGGCTTAAAAACGGAGAACTTTTAGAGGTATAGTGGTTACATTATTCATACTAGTCTTTTGCTCCCATTATTTTTTTACACACGGTGCTTGAGGTTTCTTATTCTGCTCGCTCGCCCCTCCAGTGCAGTCCAAGTTACGGTGCCTTGAATTCAAGAGAAGCTGAGTAGCCCCAGTACAAATACAGTTAGTCCTAAATGAGTACCTGAAGCTAGCAAGCATGTGAAGTGGCCATCCCGCTGTTACTTGTTCTTTTTTCCTTTAGGGGGATCCCTTGCTCCTCCTGGATCCTCTGAACAATGCTAGAAGCCTTCGGTATACTCCTGAATGGCTTCCCAGGAAAGGTAGCTGAGAAAAGACTACACTATATGTTTCCTTTGGGTATATTATGCATCCTCATATTCTAGTAGCATTTAGAAAGGAATTAAAATTCTTTACCTTGGAAAAAAAGAAAAGAAAATGGGTTGCCGATCACCACAGTTTTGTATCAAATGCATCTTTTTCACTCAGAATTCCATGAGGTGTCATGTTCAGGCATCCAGTCTTTGCTGGTTGAGAGACAATTAGCAAGACGAGGACGGTTTATACAGAAAGAATTTTTTACTTTCCATCCTCTTCCTTGGGATCACTCAGAAACCAGGTGCTTTCCAATTGAACAATTCCACTTCAGTTACTAATGGAACTTAATTAATTGGTAATTTTCCCTCAATTGATCTTTAGTCATTAATAAAGAGGAGACAAATTCAGCTTATGAATTGTGTCTCCCTTAACTGTAGTCCACCCATAGTATTCACCCGCAGTTCTGCTTATTTGCTTTCCTTCCGACACACCGTTCCTCAGAGTCTCTTTCTCTATTGTAAATTTAGAACAACGAAATATTAGTAGGAGCGAAGAAGTAGGAATATGGTGGGCGATTATGTCTTGTGAAGTGCTGCTGGGGAATGTTACCCTGAATATAGCACAAAAACTAGCTAGAAGCAAGTGTAAGAGAAACACTCTTCTTCTGAACGGTCAATTCTTTAATTGGGTAGTGATTTTTATTTTTTTTTTTATGAAAGCAAGGTCGAACAAGACTTGGAAGTTAAATACGGGGATACTTTTTTCCTTGGAAAGCTCATGTTTTAAAAGCAATACTTAATGAAAATAAACCATGAAAGGAAGCCACTGTTAAATATTCACCAGTAAACAAAGCAATAGAGGAACACTATGCCAGACATAGGTACTCAGCTGTGAATTAACCTCCGTAATATTAGTTCACCTCTTGCCTCACGAATTCGCGTCAGCACGTGAGGGCTGAGGCATCTGGGTTGTGCAGAATGGTCGATGCCTAGCCTTTTGATTTCTGACAGAGCAGGGAATGTCAGTCTCTAGTTGGGTCTCCTCCAGCACTAAAGTTATAAATTTAGTTCAGACCCAGGACTCTTAACTCTGTCACGTGTACTTTAAGTAGCAGACCGAGGTTTATTCTCTTCCCTACCATCCTTTTCATCCTTCAGCTTAGCTTGTGTAAAGATATACTCCAGGTATCAGGAATAGATTAGTGTCCTCCTGAATGCCTGGTTGCTTTCTCAACCTCAGAGAAATGTAGTAGCTACTCACACTAAGCAGCCGGGAAGGAGCTCTCCTCAGGTGTGGGAAAAGAGGCGCTCTGTGGCGTATCCTCCTCCTCCTCTTGGGAAAATGGAGGGTTCGCAGTGACAAGAGAGGATTGGAGCAAGCCAGGTGTTTAGGTCGCAGCATTATTTCAGTTTAAACCATCACTGCTTTTTGTGAAACGGCCTCGTGGTGGAGGGTGTCATTCCTCTGGCTTTGTTGTCTCCCACTGCGCAGACTTTGCGGGCTGCTCTAGACCTCTGCGTGCTCGCTGACGTAATTGTGCAGCACCGCCGCTTTCGGCAGCAGAACTATAGAAAGATCTAGCGCGTGGCAGCTTTGGCAGGCAGAGCCGTTGCGCTCTTCATTGATTTGGAAATCACAGTGAGTGTTAAGAAAAGGAGGAGGTAGGAACGTCTCTTGACCTGATCAGGCTTTATTTACACGCTAGAAGAATTGCTGAATTGGTATTTTTTCAGAGATTGGTTTTCCGATGTACGTTCTGACAGCAGGACGTAAGAATGAAATGATGGCTTCGTTGCCTGCCTTTGGTCTTGTGTGTGCTTCTGTGTTTAGAAACCGCAGCACGGGCTGCGTACTCGGCGGGAAGTACCAGTTATTACCCAAAATCGGCCTGTCCGTAATCCGCTCCGGTGCTCAGTCATCACACTGCTGTTCATTCTGCCTTGGTAGACGTGCCGAGTCGGTGCCTAGCGTGAGCAGCGTCCCAGGGTACTAGCGCAGAGAGGTGCGGAACCGGGAGTCTCACCCATGTGTCGTAGTTGCAGATCTTCTCACCAAAAGAGCAGATGGGAAGGGCAGCCTGCGGTTTCATCTCAAATGTGAATAGCGCGTACTGGAAAAGCTGGAGTTTCTGTTCTTTTTCTGTTGCTTTCTATCCCGTCAGGTTTTTGAACGCTTGTAGTTGCTATTACTGTCGGTCACTCGTGCAGATCTGATCCAGACTGGTTGTGGCAAAAAGGCTTTGACTTCACCCAGCTACCTCGCGGGTGCCCTGGAGTTGCCAAGAGCCGTACGCTCACGTTCAGAAATGCTGGCCAGTACGCTGAGTAGGCTAAGTTTATTCTGGCTCCCACCCGATCAAGTCTGTGATGTTTGAAGAACAGTGTAGAGAGCCTTGCGTTTCTTCTGCCTGTACTGTGCGTGGAATTTTGAAAAAATAAATAAATTCATCGTGTGCTACTAGCTGCCCCTTCCCTTAAAAACTGGAAAGCCCTTTGGCTGTGTAACCCAAAAAGCTGTCTTATTCAGGCACAAGTCCAAGTAGGGGTTTCAAGGGGGAACCATTAAGCAGCGATAATTTTTTAAAACTTTGCCCTGTTGTCTTCACGGATGTAAATAAAGTTAAGCCAGCAATGAATTCAATCCCCAGTTTATCTGTGCCCTTCCTTTGTGGCTTTTATCACTCTGCAACGAAAGAATGTTCTATCTTCATAAAGAGAACAACGGTAAAGTTAAATTTGTCAAACTCTCTCTCTTTCCCCTTAGGGAACTCCTCGAGTTCGAATCCTCTCCAGTGGGCGATACCTGCAGATCAATAACGCTGACCTCAGCGATACAGCAAGCTACATGTGTGTGGCAAGTAATGTCGCAGGAAAAACGACCAGGGAGTTCGTGCTGACAGTACATGGTAAAATCATGGATCCGGTCTTGTGCGTTGTGATCTTGGCGTGGTATTTCTGCTGGAGCTCCAAAGGCGGGAAGGAAGCTTTGGTAGCCTCTTTCTAGCCGAGTGCTGGCCACTTGGGCTGTGTCTAAACCGCGTGTATTGCGTCGTGTGTGCCACCAGCTGCATCCACAGTTGTGCCCCGCAGTAAGGGACCTGCTGGGGACTCGCCGTGGCTGCTCCTCCATCTGTCTCTGCTTTCTGCTAACGGAGGGTGCTGTGCGTCTCGCCCTCATCCTGATTCAGAGTCAGGATACGTCCAGAATGAACGCCTGGATCCAGGACTGAGCAATGCTCTTGGACAAATTTAGACTAATTCTTAGAAGCGTTTGACTGGCACCGTGGGGGACTAGATTTCACAGCGGGCTTGGCCACCGGGCCTGCAAGTCACTTGAAGCTGGGGGTTCTTCTCTGCACCTGTAAGCAGGAGGCAGCAGAGGACAGGGCTTGAAGGGCCCCGTGCATCTCGATACGTGTCCTGTACCACCATGGGCCTGCCTTTCATTTTAAACCTGTTGATTTTCTCACCTCTAGTCTGATGACAAACTATTCTATTCTCACACTTGGGGGATGATGAGAAACGGTTTTCCGAATTCTGTTCTGTTCACAACCCAGTCACGTGTACCTGCGTTACGCCGTGCCCCCAGGGACTGGCCTTCCTGGTCCGAATAAAATTTTTTTTTTCCCTCCTTAATTTATCGTTAGGAAACAAGGAGCTCACTGCAGCCTGACTTTGCTGAATTAAATATGCTGAACTCTTTCACTGTTTTAGCTGTATGATAACCTTTGCAGTAACTTGCAAAGATGATCTTTGCAGTGCATTTCAGACAAACTTTCTTTTTCATTCCCTACCGCATCGTGGCAATTACCGTGCGCTACACAAAACGGTAAGAAACTTGTTTCTGCTTTTGCAGTGATCCCCATGCCTGGTGCTGCATCTGCTTTCATGCGTTTGGTTTCAATCGTTGCAGCCTAAAGGGGTTTTTTTCTTTATGTCATCAGCAATTTTCCCTTTACAGTGGTTCCTACGATCCGAAGCGGTCCTCAGACTGCAGCTGTGCGGATAAATGCTTCTGCCGTTCTGGAGTGTGTTGCAGAAGGAGTACCAACCCCGAGAATTACGTGGAGGAAGGATGGGGCTATTTTTACTGGAAACAACACAAGGTATTGTCCAGAAGTCAGCATAAATATTCCTCATTGGTTTTTATCAATGTATTAATTACAGAAAGCTTAATTAGATGTCCGTGACCTGTACATTAGTTTTGTATTCAGAGATCAGAACTAATATTTGCCCTATCATCTCAAACAGACCCAAACGTGGAAAATATGGTGATAGGCACAGTAATACAAAGATGCTGTTCTACAGAAAAGTATCAGTACCAAAGGTTTCATCCTTCTCTTGAAGGACAAAAACCTCCTTTGACAACCAAATGTAATAATAATAATAATTCTGATGTTAAAGATTTTGAACAGTAAACATATATATATGGAGGTTTTGGGATGAAGCCGAGCAATTTCATGCAGACCAAAAGCTAGTCGAGTGTACTCTGTGGTTCCTAATACATAAAACTTTCCATTCATGTTGTAATATCACCTTTTTATTGTAGTCAATCGTTTCTGTCTTCTGATTGTTTTAAGGAGAAGTAGTTTGGCGTTTTCCAGAACTGGGCAAATGCCGAAGAATTCAGTTGTATTTCAAAGAAAAAAGAAAAGCTACAAGCATTAATTAGGGTTTTTTAAGGAGAAATGAGAAACCATAAAAAAGGGCTTTTGGATACTTTCTGCAAATCTGCCATCATTTCTGTGGAATCACTACGTCAGCCAGATTTCCTAATTTCTCTGGACAATGGATGTGCTGGGAAA